TTCTTGACTATCAGTCGCACATTCGCAACGCAACTCTCGTGGAGCGCGCCAACTGTAGTACTGATTAAAACAATCTACATTCATGTCTTATAAATTTTCAACCCAGCTATGTAATTTAATACAGTGTATATTGTATCATTTGTATCAATTTGATCTTGCCTGTAAACTGGCATGCCTCATGTAACAAACTGTTATTTGAGAATAAATTATTATTATTATTATTATTATTAATAGAACTGCCAGTGAACCTCCGTTGCAGTGAAACTACAACCCGGTTCAAACATATCCTTGATTATTTTCTTTCCGAGATTGGATTATTTCACCTATTGAATATCAATGTATTCAACAATGATTTATACAAACAAGGTCCGTCATCCATTTAATTGCCTAAAAAGCAAAATAAAACCTTTAAATCTTTTCACGTCTATTTTATTTCTATTTATCTTAATATATGAAGTTTGCTTATGTTCGCATCTATAATTATTACTGTTATTAATATCATTATTGTTCCCCCGACACATTAGATATTCCTTTTATATCTTCCTATCCTTCTTAAAATATTTAATTCCTGACTGTCCTTTGAAATTAATTGTGACTTTCATAGCATCATTCCTAATTATTATTGCAGATATGTTTATACTAATATCCGGTTCCACACTGTATATTATTACATAAATCTACATGGTATTTATCCAAGTGCATTAAAGGATTTTTATTTTATTTTTCTAAATTGTTGGTCTCCTTCTGAGGTTGATATTCATTGCTCAATTATTATTCTTATCATGGATGAAACTTTTCATTAGGTGTTCACTTCTTTTCTCTCTTCCTTCCCTCTAAATAAATATTCTTAAGATTACGAAGTTTGTAATTAAGACAATAACTTATGTTACACTTAAATTAACTTCTCAAACCCGTTTTATCTTCACTATGCATATATGACTCATACATATTGATATTTCATTATCCCTTTCACTCAGTTGAGACTTTCATCGCATCACTCCAAACTATGACTGTACAAACATTTATTCTAGCGTCATATCTTACTACAATAATAAGTTGTTTTTCCTTAATTATTTTTTGTTACTAATTTGACGATATAAACATAGTCGTTTGTTCTTGTTTTATGTTCATAAATACGCCAATTAAACTGTTTGCGTATTTCACGTCTCGTTTATTTCTATTCCCTTATTTTATCCATTTCCTTCTTTAAACTCAATTCAATATTCTTCTCAATTACACATACCCGATTTATTATTATTAATATTCTACTATTATTACTCTAAATTTTTTTTAAATATGGCAAGTATAATGCTAACATTATTGAAAAGAGTGTATTATTGCATTTTTTAAAGAAACCCAAAATGGTTTCTGTAAGATCCATTTTGAATGCTTTGTGTGTTTGTGAAAATCCCTCCATGTATATACTTGCACTTTGTTCTAATTGATCCTCTTAGTTGCACACTGTTAACTTTTTGACTACATTTGAGCTGTTATAATTTGTACTTTATTATAGTTTTTATTTTTATTACGCCTTCACTGAGTCTCCATGTTTCTTCCCGAACTGCACTTATGTTGTTTTACTTTATACTAAGTCTGGGCGGCAGCCATATTGGTTTGTTCATGCTTTTGATTGCTTGACCTGTGTTGACTGGAATCGTGCATTTTGGTTGTGAATTGAGGCACTATTCCAGAATTGAAAACACACTGTGTTATAGAGTGACCAATTATTACCTTTTGAATGAATCTGTACGTGATCTATCCAGACAGGATAGAATAAGATTTATTTGTGGTGACTGGTAATTCTCTTGCATCCTTTATCAACTTTCTTATTTATTATAATTTAGATTTGATCAACTGAACAATTATTGGCTGGATAGCTGAGTGGTTATATTTGTTCAGGTAATAATGTACACTTAAATTTATGATAAATTATAGGACCACTATCTTTGTTTTGATTTCAAACGGGCGTGGGCGCGTATCTAACTCATCCAGGCAGCTGTCCAGCAGTCCAAACTTATTTTGGATCTTACAGTTTCTACACAACATTTATGTACCCGTAAGATGTTTGTGAATAATAATAATAATAATTCTCTTTGTCAACTCTAATGCCCTTCTTTACTTGCTTGTTTGCTCCCGCGTATTGAGCCTGCGTCTAGAAATTCTCTGTTCTTGTTCGATTGTTGTTAATTTCTGTCGTCTCATTCCTCCTTTTTCGGATCCAAAATAGGGTTTCCGTATAGATGCATTCCTTATTATGATGCATCTTGCGACCCAGGACCTCCTGACACGTTGAAGTTTGTGTTTCTCTAATCCGTTTCCTGTCGTTCCCTATTGTAGTTTTTTCTTGTTTGAGTAGATCTTGTAAAGCTTGGAACTTGTTGTTGAGAGCTATGTTGAATTGGTCCGGTTTATGTGTATGTGGAAGGAAGTGTTAATTGAAACTTTGTTGTGCTGTTTTCCCAGTTGTCCATTGTTTCTGTAGCTTCAGTTTGATCTTTGCAACTACCAGTTGGTGGTGATCTTAAACAACGTGAGCAAAGACTGGATAGGTATCTGAACGTCATTTTTCATATCGCCCACTTACTTAACGTTTCCCTCTGTCTTAAACTATGGACGATCATGTAATATCTTTTCTTCCCGCCATTGCCTGCCTAATTTCCACTTTTCGAGTTCCGTTGCCAAACCACAAGGACAATACTTCAGAAACGTACGGCGAGTTTAAACTATAACTTTCTGCAATCATAAGGCCGTTTCGGATGATTCATACACTGACAGCTGTATAATTATTCAGACTCTTCGAATTGTTCTGAATCAAGCGAGTGACAAGAAGGTCAACAGTACCAAGAACCCTGGAATTAATCGCAATACTGCGTGTTGAGGTTTTCGCTGCGTTTAATGTTGAATGTCAATTTTCCTGGTTGTCTCGTGTTCAGCTTTGAGGACTGTGTGATTAGGGTACAATGCCACTACATGATCATTCTGCATAATCTGTTTTTATTCACTTTAAAATATCATTCTACCTTACCCAAATGTATTCTTTGGAAACTTCATGCATTACATTTCTGATTGTTACGTAACGATGAGTCGGAATATATAGTGATGTGACTTTCACGAAAGATCCCATAAGTTAGGTAGTCAAATCATGACAAATCCGCAGTTTTATGATTATTTCCGTTTTCGTTGTGATACCAATAACGATTTGAACCATAGATCCACTTCGACTTTTTAAATCCTTTGTGAAATCGGGTTCTCTCGGCACTACCAAATTCTTCACAATTGACGGAAGCTGATACTATTTCTGAACAATTCATCCAGCATTTCTCGCGATGCTGCAGTATTGAAGCCGAAATCTTTGTCAATACCTTTCCATTGGTGACGTCTAGACATAAATTCGAAATTGAATTTAAATCCATCAACATCAACCAGACTACAACTTCACTGAGAAAGCGCCATGACGATGAATGTGATGGGATTCCTGTGTCATTCGTAACATATGGTAGTACAAAATTTCCGATACTGTATTTAAAGCTGTTTAACTTGTCTTTGGATTGCGGACACTATCCATATGTTTGGAAATTATCGCTTATCACCCTTAGGTTCAAAACAGGATTACGGACTGATATTGTTAACTGTATGTTCATTATTTTGACATCCACGCTATCAAGAGCCATGGTAAAAATCATCCACAAATGGATATTGTCATTTCTACTTTCAGCTAGCCTGATTGGCCCATTCCAACATGGATTTATAACTAAACGTTCATGCTTCACATCGTACCTGGAATTTTTCTATCAAATTACCAGAGGACAGATGTTGGTTCATCAGTGGTAATTCTGTACTGCAACTTTAGTAAAACTTTCGAGTGTTTCACACAAACGTCTTCTAAATCCTTCTTTATTTGGTGAACGGGATCCCCTTTATTCCTGGTTTAAATCATTTCTGGAAGAACGTAGCCGAATCGTCCGCTTTGAATCTTGCTACTCTAAGCCTGTGAATATAACCATTGGGATTATACAAGAAAGTGTGATTGGTCCATTGCTCAGTTTTCTTTTTACCAATGACGTGTGTTCACTCTTTCAATACGGTAAATCATTCCTTTTTGCTGGTGACCTAAAAATGGTTTATGCATTCCCTACTTCCACTAGCGGTAATCTAAAAAGACAAACAAGTTTTACGAATGGGCTGTGTCGTCTAATTCATCACTGAATGTTGATAAAAGTAGATTAATATACAATGGCCGCAGCTCTAACCTAAATCTGACTGTACACGGGCATATACTGAAACCTCTCACATTATCCGTTATAATGTTATATACAAGGTGTATCTACCGGTTTCTTCTTCTTAACTAACTGAAAGCACCAGAAAAGGAAACAATAAATTTTCTAAACTGCTGGCTATTCGTTTTGTACACAAACACAGTGACTGGCAACGCCGAACTTAACACCAGCCATTCTCAAACTATCTAACTTCTATACTTCTGTCGTTATTTGACCATTATTCAACTGAAGTAGACTCTCCTGATATGTTTAATTATGATTCACACTCGAAAATTTGTTTCACTCCGAATACTACTAGGTATTTGTGTTAGCCACCAGGCCTTTTATTCACTAGCCGTACTGAACTGTCTATCGTTCTAGAAAATGAGACACCAAGAAAAGCTATTTCATTATTATTCACCAGTTAGCTGGTAAATTTAATAACTGGATGAACGTTATCGCAAAAGTTCAAAAGCTTTCGTCTGTTGATACTTTTTTCACACACGATTAGTGTGTCACCTATGTTTCTACAGCAATAATCTGACTTATTTAGGATATTATTATCATTCACAAACAGCTTATGAGTACTTGAATGTTATGAAGAAACAATTTCAGATCGCCCCTAAAGTCTGGTATCGTCTTTTTTGAAGATACGCCGTGAACGACACTGAAATGTATCCTCAGTTTTTTTTGGAAAAATAGGTTATTTTTCCCTATCTGGTTAATTGAACTCTTTAGGGCGGTAGAATCAGAATCCATTTTAGCGGCAGGTTGGATTGGTGGCCTTTGCTTTGCTTTAACATGTATGGGAATTCTGATTTCATTTTGTTCCATTCTATATTTTTTTGTGTATTCCCGGAGTTTTTCATCTGTGTGGGTTCTCGAGAACCCCTTTAATCTATGTTGGACGTTTGTTTCGAGGAAATTCCCTCTTAAGTGACATTTCTTGAGTATTGTTATTAGAAAACTGGGTAATCGCACCATCAATCTCACAGTGATATCCTTACCAAAGTATTAAGATGTTCCACAACAAGTGAAGTGAAGGCATGCATTGTTATCGTACTTTTTTATTATATGGTTCACGTTTTCGTGTCATAGTTTTAAGATTTTCATTTGCTGGGAAATAGTTATTACGTCTTGAACAAACGGTCACTTGGGAGCCTCATGCAAGTATTTTGTAGTCCTTTGCTGAAATATTTGGAATTTGTAGTCAGTAGATATATTTTTGCGTAAATTTACGTTGAGTTTATTTATGTCTGTTTTTGCTAAAACATTTTCAAGATTCCTCAAACAAAACAGCGGAGGAAATGAGCGGTAGATGAATTTGTGTTACGTAAGTTTAGTGAAATGTAGCGTCTACGAGTAGGGCCGTATGTCTTGGATGTGGTTAAATGATTTACTAGCAATCAAAAGGGACTGCAGGTCAAGATAACTCAAATCCATGGATATATTTCAAATTTTTTGACCTTGTCATAAAGTTGATCGACTAAATACTTTAATAAAAGAGGTTTTGTCAGCATAACGAAGAATAACTTAAATATAGATATAGGAAGGATTTTGACTGGTAGATTGGACTATATGGGAGACGTGAAATTTTATATGGTGAACTAATAGAGTGGTTAAGACTAGAGAATTTTCAACCTGAAAGGATTCAGCAACGCATTATGATTCAATAACTACTTCTGTATTTCCGACCAGTATTTTTAGTCTCTGTTCTTCGTTGCTAAACAATGATAATTTGTCTTCACTTAGGAGATTTGTGCCATAGTTAGGTAGCGGAGTGCAGTCTTTGATTTCGGTTAGTGACTAATTATTGGCAGTATTAATTGTTGAATCCACCAGTAATTACCCGATTCCTTAAGTCTTTTCATACCACTGTATTGTATTAAACGTTTAAAAAATCTTTTTACATAGATGTCCGCCTTTCGAAGAATAGGCAAAAGGCTTGTTTTGGTTGGAGCAATATCTGGCGTCGGTGCTGCATTTTTATTGGAATTTGTCCCCAGAGTTAATGAAGCCAGAAGGACGAAGGTGAAGTACTTATGACAGTAATGATTAATATTTACCATTAATTAATTACTAAACAAATCATTGCTTGTACTGACATGTTAGTGTTTGTTTAGAAACAAACTTGGGTGTTCATAAGTATGAAAATTCAATGTGTTTATGTATAGATCACCGAGTAGTAGCCGATATCATGTTTTGTTTCTTGAGTATCCATATAATCCTTTTAATCATTTTTAGATAACTTATCACACTGACTGTTTCGAAGTGAAATGACTAAAGACAAGTGACTGTAAGATATTAGTATAATTTTCTTATTAGTTGGTGTTTGTGCTTCAAGGCAATAATTCCTAACTCCGAGCTCGATAGCAGTGGGCGAGAGTGCTTCTTATTCTCTTCTCTGTCCGCTAACTATAGATTGGAGTACAAGCCTTTCCAAATGATTTGTGGAAAGAAACTAAGAACATTAAAATTATTCAAATACGTTCATTTATATACAAGTTTAATTTCAATTGATTACTGGTTGAAGAATTTGTCAAACTAAACAGATATCACAGAAATAATGCAGTCGGACATTAAATCGAGTCAATATCAACTTGATAAAAATAGCACTGGGTTAATTGATGCAAAAAGTGCTTTGAAAGCCAATTGAATGAAAATTACTTCGCATCAATGACCCATCAGAAAGATTTACCTGCAGTTCTCAGTAAATGACACTCCTTGTGCAATGGGAACCCGCATCACTGTATTTATTTTTGTTTATTTAAACGCAAACATTAGTATGAGGAGGCACCAAATGTATATGTGCCACACTTCGTCATTCGATTTGTGTAAGGGCTGGGATACTGCCCGGGCGCGCAAACCAAGGTGGGTGGTCCTCTTAGGAGGCCTCTCTCCAAGCCTTTGACTTGGAGGTTTAATCTATAGGGCAGTGGAGCAACGTAAGGAGATGCCGTCTCATAGTAGCCGGTGACCAACAATAAGTTCATACGCTATTTGTTTGTTCAGAATCCTGCAGCCCATGTGACCATTCGTTTGGAATCAGGGTTTTCCAACCCTCCTAGATGGGTCCCCCGGAACCCATTGACCCGGTTAAAGCACCGGACATTCGCTTTTCTTCCTCTTAATTTCGTAAATAACAACCCCGCCGCGAGAAGGCAGTGAATAGGACTTCACTGTTGGGGGCTATACTTGCGTGGCTATGTGAGAGGATTTCGAGAGGGAAAGCGGACTCTCCCCACCTTCGACCGTATCATGGTATTTGGGGGGCATATATTCCATATTATCACTAATATTATTAGGCTACACCTGACCTCATCATCTTGCACCAAAATATAGTGGCTGTAATGCCGAGTCAGTTATACCGATGACCATATTGTACGTAATTTTGTGTATAATTTGATCAACACTAAGAACATGCTACTAATTACCATTCAGTGTTTTAATTTAGTCGCTTGTTGCCATTATTCATTAATAGTTAACACTGTCAAGAATAATTGATGTGATTTTCTCTTAATATCTAATTTGACGTGAATTTGGGCTTACATAATAATCTGTCATACATTCCGTTGAAACAATTTTATTTGAATTTATTTCGAAATGTTTAATTCATTGATAAAAGTTTTATCTTGACACGTATTGTTTCCTCTGTTATCGTCACAATTTGAGCTTTCTGAAAACCTAAGATCGTGTAGACAATTTTATTCTCTACATCATCTAACGTAAACTCGTGTTTTTGATGTTTCTGCAAAGGCATATCACAACACTTTATTGGGACTTATTTTTTAAACTTCTGATATGTTACCACGAGTTCAGAAACGAAACATTTTATTTTTGGTTCAATTAGTTACTCACCTGAAATCTAAATACTGTAAACTATTTAGGGAACGTGTGGAAAACTGACTACAAAAGGAAGATGGATGTGATAGTTTTATTTCTGGTTATGTCTTTTAACTCCTCAATTCACTTCTAAATGTTCTATTCTTCAAGCCTGATCAGTATAGGATTTTAGTTTTGGCCAAAGCTTGTTATAAGTTTTTTGGTAACTGTGTATTTTGACTTTCAAATAAAGCAGAAATGTATGAAATCTGTTAATGTGATTTTAGTTAATTATGTCTCACTTTTTGTTTATTATCATTGCATCTTCATTTTAAGTGTTCATAACATCATGTTAAACTGTATAGCTTAGTGTTCCTGATATTATATACTTGCCAAGTTTGTAATCAAAACTAGCAAATAAGCAGATCACTCATTTGAAAAAAATTTAACGCAATTAACAATTTGTAATTCACTATTCTGGAAAGTCAAACACGTGAATAGAAACAAGCCGGAGCTTGTCATAATAATTTAGCTGTTGATTCTATCATACTTTTACTCACCAGTCGTTTATTATGCTGATATTCTACGCTATTACTGTCTATCTAACCTATAGTTCATATATATATTCAGAGGCGCTAAAAATGTTTGCGACTCTGGAAACAATCAGACTCCAGTTCTCAGTGATTGTCGATGATGGTATTAGTTAAATCACACTTCTTTACAGACACTTTTCAAGAGAATAAGTATTACATCTTTTTCATTCTGAACTTTTGGCCATTCTCGTGGGTAACCAGAAATATTTAATGCTTTTTGATAGTCTGTTTATTTCCTTAAAACACAGTTTTAAAAATATAAACGAACCAATTCAGCGACTGATCATGCTTCATCATAGCTTCTTATCTGCTATTTCACTATTGGTTTCGCCTTTTTATGTAATCAAGCAATCACTAGTCACATTGTTCAATAAGCTTATATTCTCATCACTACATCTTATACTTACAGGCTTTACTGTCGAGACCTAAACCTTCAGAACAGGAGTTCAAACGTTTTGAGCGACCCTTGCCGACTAGAGATGAACATCTCAAACGAATGGCATCAGGTGAACTTTTCGATGTCTTAGTAATTGGTGGTGGGGCAAGTGGTGCTGGTGTAGCGTTAGATGCTGCATCTAGAGGTAGGTTGAAAAAGTGAATAACTTCAACTATGCGCCCAAATTCTTGTCATCACATTTATTGACATAAACAAACATAATTTTTTGTCCTGAGGTTTACTTTTACTTATTCGAGGTACTAAGAGAATTTCTAAATCCTACACTGTTTAGATGACCGGTTAAATTTGTCGCATCAATAAATACTTTCAAATTTAGCTATCTAAATCTTCAAAAATGTGGGTAGGGTCTTCTAATTAGTAGAAACTAGTAATTTAAGAATTTGGGTAAAGTGGCTGAAGGCTGGTAGCAGAAGCATTTATGCAATGTGTTTTATCATACTGCAAGTTTCAAATATGCTACTGTGTTCTTATATGGCTTCATATTACTTCGTTATTCCCTTTTTTGTAGTGACATGTTTCCCATTATTATTGTTAGTATTTTCGACTCAGCCTTATGATTTTTAAATATGACTAATTGAATCAATACACCATTTTTATTTCGTTATAGGTCTTTGTCGTCAGTCAATAATAGCTGTTTATTTGACCATGTTTTTGTCATTAAACCGGTTTTAATATCACCGTTTAATGATGAGTTTTAATTAAATACTTTGGTTAAACCCTGTGTATCTCTAACATTAAATGTTTAGTTTCATGATGTAGTATTAGTTATTTGTATTTTTAATACAGTGGTATTTGATTAATCCAGTGGATTCCTTGTGAAACATCAAATAACGATGTTTGGAGATGATTGCGTACAGAAGCTGAAATATCGAACAGAAAAAATACTAACAATGTTATAATCTTATACTTGAGTACTTATGTAATTAGCAAATTGAGAGAAAAGCATATCTACTAATAATGGAAGAGAATTAGTGAGACTAATTAATTACTTTCGGTTTCTTCCAGTAAGTTATGCTTGACCTTTCCTATAGAAATGATGTCGTTGTACTAGTTAACTGGTAGTACTACGTTCGCCTAACGTAACTATATCACAAAACACTGAAACATTCTGAATAAATTTTGCATGTATTATTGTTAGACAGTTTAGTGTTCGTTAGATGACATTTCCTATACGAAATCGTTTACTTAAACCGTATATCTGATAAAGCTTAAAAAGCGTTTACGAATACATGGACGATAATCACATAATGATTACCAATCTTAAATGAATTTTGATAGCTTCATCAATTGACCTTTGCCATGGAAATAAGAAATTGAAACAAAAGAATTTAAATCAAATTGTGGGTGGCCCTGAAAAAGGGCTTTACTCGTTCTCTTAACAGTTCCGAATTTCATGGACAAAAAAGTTGCTATGATTCCGTTATAGCGTCGCACATGGGACAGTGGATTCCATGGACGTGTGGTGATGGGTCGTAGACACAAAATAAATGAAACATTGCTTCGCATGGACAAAAAGTCCAGGCACTTCCATCAGCAGTTTCATTTTCATGTGGCAGTTGCGCAAGATTGCAAATATCACAAAGTCTGTTGTCATACGCGTTTTCGTCATTGTCGTCGTCTCGTTCTGTGAACTCCTCTGAGTTAATTAAAACAATTTCTTCCTCGTTATTGCTCAACGTTGCATCCATATCGACATTATTTTGACAGTTGGTAACTTACAAAATATGAAGGAAGGACATTGAGTGTTCACGGTAGTCCTTAATGAAAAAATTATAATAACACTGATCAAATTACCTCGTTCGTCTACTCGGCTGTGAAGAACCGCTAGATGTTCTACGACCATTTCTCCAACATACGAATCTAATATACGGCTTCCGATCTCTATGTAAATGAGAATCCCTCACCACATAATGGCAGTACGCAGCTGTTTCATAAGTTTTTATGGCGCTCGTCAAGTGATTGAGACGCTACAAGATACAATGTGCTCAAGAACGAACAGGTTATCGGTTTCTGTGACAACGTGAGGAACGACAATGCTCGTGTTTCGCATGTTACCACCGTCCATAATTGTAAGAAAATGTGCTCTGTCGTCATGTCCTGATATTTTATATCGATTTGAAGAATTAAACGACCAATTATAACGAACTCAAAACTAGTTATTTGATTGGACGAAACAGAATGAAAATTATTGGAAGATGGGGATGAAAATTTTTTTCAAAAGGGATAAAAAAATTTCACTCGAAAAAAATACAAAAATGGCCGTGCAGTAAATGTTTGCCCTTTATGAGGACCAGTTCAAATCATCATTACGTACCTGTAGTCTACAATCTAAAAAAATCGCTGATATTCCTACACGACTGATACGTCGTCTTGATCGGGACCCGATGTCAACACTTAAGGAAGTTGCTGAAGAATATCAACGATTAACAAACCTCAAACACGACACCAATCTAGTTCATTGCGCTGGTCAAAATCGGTTTGACGGTCAAGCAGTTCAAAGTAAAGTTTTCGCAAAAGGTTTGGGGCATTATACTACAATGAAATTAAATCTTCACCTGAAAATAAAACGCTAATCCATTGGCGATTGTTGTGTCCTGCTGTTAGAGTTCAGTACGGCCTATGGTGTTGTGGATTTAGGAACGAAAACGATTGAGCTTCTCTGATACGATCGGTTTTTTTCGGAACTGACAACAGTCAATTATACTCAACTTATTAAACCTAGACGGCTAAGACAGAAAGAGGACAGAATTACAGGTAACTTGATATATTTGGTAGAACTCAAATGAAATCGGTACGGAATTGTTACTATAATAGCAGAATATGATCTTCGAGCATGTCGTAATTTAGCGAACTAAGAAAACAAGATGACCAATCAGAGAGCAAAGGTTATGCGGAAAATCAAATTGGTAGAAAGTGTGCGAGCGGTTATCGTTCCAGAAGAGATCCTAGCCCTTCTAATAAAACATGACTACTCTTGCTACCCCTTTGGCACGAATTCGTCTGCATTTTGTTTGAATCGATCGTAAAAACTGCTTAATTCTTTTTTATACATATATTTGAATTTTCTGCATAGGTAAGTGGGAAATAAAAAAGATCACTATTCTTTCAATTCATTTATGGTTAGATGAATAAATAAATGCTTATGCTTCCCTCATATAAACACCTTCAATCAATTATTGTTTTGTAAATACTAATTTTCTCTTCGTTCTGTTTTTGCCTAAAGGTTTATCAACATGCCTTATTGAAAGATTGGATTTTGCTTCGGGTACCTCCTCTCGTTCAACCAAACTTATTCATGGTGGTGTTCGATACCTACAAAAGGCTATATTTAATTTGGACATTGAACAGTTTCGTATGGTTAATGAGGCACTTAGTGAACGGTCTAATCTAATCGATATTGCTCCACATCTAGCCTATCCATTGCCAATCATGTTGCCCATATATAAGTAGGTTTATATAGATTTTTGTCATTTAAGACTAACTAAAATTGGAGATTTAAACCATTGATTACCAACACAGGGTTTCAAATGTAATATGCTCGTTTCCAAATTCGAATATATTGAGTTTGAGACATGACAAGGTCGTGGGTACGCACTGTTGAGAAGTCCCGTTTTAGGATGAAATGGCTATTCATTGTAGGTAATATTCATCACGGATTGATCACAGTTTTGGGGTACATTAAAAAACGAAGGGTATTGGACAGCTATTTTATCCCACCATTGGACTCCTCGGTAATGCAAACCCACAACCAAGAGTTCCAACTAAACGAACACCTTTGCACAAACTTCTTTTGTACACATGGATTCAGTTCAGTGAGATGGTTGTCAATGCTTTCAGCCGTATGCAATGAGCGTATTGGTTGAGCATAGAGCAAACTAGATAGATCATTTAGAAGTCTGTATTCAACTTAATTTTCACAATTATTATAAATATAAGTGATCTAACAAAAAATGCCATCACAGACATTTTAATTTGAACTACTCGTTTCTTCTCATTCTCACTCAACACAGCTGTTGGTATTCATAGTGATCCTGGAATTCAATACTAACCATGCAGTTTACTTTTAAAAAGAATTCACTTTTAATGTTGTCATTGTTTTTATTGTCAATTCTGTAGATGGTGGCAAGTTCCGTATTATTGGGCTGGTATTAAAATGTACGACTTAATATCTGGTGCTCAAATACTAAAAGCCAGTTATTATCTTAATAAATCACAGGCATTAGAACGATTTCCTTTATTGAAACGTGATAAACTAGTCGGTGGGTTAGTATATTATGATGGTAAGTTAGTTCCTAAAATGCCTTATTTAATACTGCGTTATCCTTCCACAGATATACATCTTTCAGGTTGTTGTATAGTTTTATTGTATTTGTTGGATTTTGCCTCTTAAAATCATAAACAATGTTCATCACTGAGATCTATCAGGTTTGGATTTGTCAGATATATGCTCTTTAAAAGAAATGTAAATCATCCATTCATTCTTTTTATTGTTATATACCATTATACTCCTGGATAAATTTTATCTATGGTTTGCTTTACAACGATTGGTTTTTTAAGAGGTTATTTTTCATCACGAATTAACTTCACCCATAGATCTAATAAAATGAGGGAGGACTTTACTACCATTTCGTCCTAGTTTGTTACTTTTTGCCAATAAGCTCCCATGATTACGCAAAAAATTTAGATCCGGATCTAACGGGTATCGCGGTAAGTGAAATGCTGTTAGCATTAGTTGTTCGTCAGTCTGTACCATAAACTGACTGGATTTGAAATTGCACCACTTGATGCAAACCAAGTGATTCTCGTGGTTATGCATTCGCCCTTAGATTTGAGGTTCTTAGAGTAGATCACTGGTGGAGTTGTGAGTGCCCATCGACATAAAGACGTATACTAGGACGAAACAGCTGTCTATTATTTTTGGTTTCTGGTGGTACCCAATCTCATATCAATCTGTGATGACTGCTGCTTGCAAATTAAGTCAATCTCCACAATCTCCTTCAAATAAAAATAGTTTAATCTCTTAATCCTAATTCGGTTAATTAAAAAAGTCGCGGTTTCCTACTGTAGAATTTCGAAAAGTCTATCTCGACAATTTTTTATAGTATGGATATGGTTAACTTAAATAAGTTTTTAGCGGAAACTGTTTAAGTTTAACTAATCTTTGCTAAGAGTTTGTTTTAGATTTTACACATATAAATGATTGATTACCCTGAAAAGTAATTATAAGTATTGGTCGTGCATTATACGCCGACTCTGGGACCGGTTGGAAAAAGCGGATAGGTGGTATGAAAGAAAGCTGTACAGGGCTGACTTCTGTTGGTCCTTCATGACTCCCTGATTGAGATCCTAGATGTGATGCAACACAGTGGTAGATACGTTATCAGACAGCTCAGAATCAAAACCAGTGAGCGATCCTGCTGTAACTTTCTTTTAATTTTATAAAAGTGAACGTAACTTCTTTAGCTGAAGGAATTCTTTGTGGTTGTATTTTTGCTAAGTGAAATGTTTCCCCCATTAATAATTTGTTTATTTACTATTTCACTCTCATACACTAATTTCTGTTCGTTGTTGTGCTTTTTATTATATGCACTTAACATTTTCTATCTATTTCAAAACCCATCTGACTAGTCACAATCACTCATTGTCCCGATATATAAGAAGGGATCAAAATCATCCTGTGACAACCATAGAGAGATTAGTTTAACTAATATAGTATTTAAAATACTAGCTTCGATAATTATCGGACGCCTAACTAAGACTCGTGAACTGCAAACACGAAAAAATCAAGCTGGCTTCAGACCTGGTCGTGGCTGCTTCGACCACATATTCACCATTCGTCAGATTCTAGAACACAATCATACTTATCGGCGTCCGACAGTGGTGGTCTTTCTCTACTTAAAAGCAGCATTTGACTCTGTAGACCGCGGGATTCTGTGACAGTGTCTGTCATTGGAAAGCGTACCTCAGAAATACAATAACCTTGTGAAGGCTTTTCACTCGAACACTACTAGTCGAGTCAGAGCTTATGGCGAACTGTCATCTACTTTTGCAACCTCAAGTGGTGTCCGTCAAGACTGTCCACTTTCCCCATTTTTGTTTAACTTCATCATAGATCTACTGATGGAAATAACTTTCTCGTTGACTGAGTTCTCGGGTATTGATCTCCATCCAGGAGGTCCACTTATCGACTTAGAATACGCAGATGACATAGTCCTGTTTGGTGAAGACTCTGATAAAATGCAGAGTCTTTTGGTAGCATTAAGCAACAATGCCAGAATGTTTGGGATGCGCTTCTCTCCCTCTAAATGCAAATTGTTGCTTCAGGACTGGTCTGCGTCAACACCTGAACTAAGGATAGGGAGTGAAGTAGTCGAACGCGTTGGCAACTTCACTTATCTTGGGAGTCTGATCAGCCCTAATGGGTTGGTGTCTGACGAAATCTCAGCACGGATTCGAAAAGCTCGTTTGGCTTTTGCCAACTTACGTCATCACCTATGACGAAGGCGAGATATCCGTCTATCAATTGAGGGACGAGTATACTGCTTGGCAGTCCGTTCTGTTTTAATTTACGGCAGCGAAACATGGCCATTAAGGGTAGAAGACACTCGTAAGCTATTAGTATTTGACCACAGACGCCTTAGAAATATTGTTGGCGTCTGCTGTGATCACCGGGTAAGTAATAGTGAGGTTAGACGCAGGGTATTAGGAAATGATGGTAAATCAGTTGATGAGGTTATGAATCTTCATCGACTGAGATGGTTGGGCCACGTGTTACGTATGACTGAACACCGATTACCACGACGAGCAATGCTATCTGGTATTGGAAATGGTTGGATGAAAGTTAGGGGCGGCCAAACCAAAACGTGGTATCAGTGCTTGAAGTCACTAACTTCTAGTCTGAGCCATGCTGGTAGGTGCAGGCTACTTGGTTCAGGTCCGCGTGACTATCGTAACTAATGGTTGGAGACTGTGGTTGACATGGCTGCAAATCGATCACAATGGCGTCTGTGTATACACTCTCTGTCTTCCTTTAAACTAAGAGATTAAAATCAATCCATATCTTTCTACTAACTAATTCTTTCTTCCTGTACTATATCCTTATATGCAATTTTTTTTCATATATTACCACCATTGAATTAACTACTTTTATAATTCCGGTGTTCATCTTGTTGTGTTAATGAGGTATGGCAACTTGGACCGATGCAAATATGTGCCTGATCCTACGTTGTAGCTGACTGACTGACTCATCGATATTGTGCGGCTCATATGTATTTGGCGCCCCCTTGTACCAATGTTTATGTGTTCAAATAGCTAGTACTCTTTGATTGTAAACAATCCTTTAGCAGACATCAATTCGTGATGAATTTTTATCACCTTTACATTCTTCAAAATCATCTTAACTATTTATGTTCATGATCCGAGAAACATTTTTGTGCTACGTGGTTGAAAGTAATTCACAAAAAACCCTTAACCTAGGTTTCTTGCTGTTTGGCACCCGTAAGATGCACCTGTAACCCTAAAGGAACTAACGTCTAACGCATTCAATCCCCTGTCATCCGACTTCATAGTCAGAGAGGTTAGAACTAAGCTACTCAGGCCTCAACTGTGATGTATTGCACGCAATATTGAGTCAGTTTGAATAGTGATCACATTTGAACTTGACCGATGGAATTCAGTCAGCACTAAGAAGTGCTTAACAAACATAACATTAGCCACTACTCAATGACCAATTAATTATAAATAAAAGCTGTTCTTTTTGTGGCATTTTTAATTGCAAAAGCTTGACCTGGTTAATTATTATCATAGTGCTAATTGTTTTTAATCCGCTTATTCTATCATTTATTTGATCAGTGTTAACATTATTCGGTTTAGATTCAGATGCCCTTCAAATCGTACTTGTAAGTAGTGGATATATTGCATATATTCTACGGTAAGAAAACAACAGTGTGTTTTTATCACTCAGTAATTGTTGTACATCTACATACTTCACTACTAATTAAGGAATCTCGCTATTATCAAAATAACTTTAACATGAATATTGGCTGAGCACAATGGGTATATCTTTAGCATTGTTCTATGAAAAACAAAACAGATTTGGTCAAACCTTATACTAATGATAATTAAATTTAATGTCAACATTTACTACATATTTAGGTTACATTCATTACAAATTGATCTTAGTTCGTTTACCATTAGAAACCAGGGGCAATAGACAGCTGTTTCGTCCTAATTTGGGACTTCTCAACAGTGTGAAGCTATAACCACACCAGGTAGGGAATTTGGTACCCTTCTGTCTGTAGGAGAACGCCTTGGCGAATTCAATTAATTTGCAACATACCGCGGCGATCATTCAATGTTGTTAGTAAAACCTATTTCACTTCCTATCTGTCTGACTACCACTAGTCATGATTTCATATTACATATCTTGATAAAAAAAATAAAGGTCCATGACTGTTTATAATTTCAACAATTATGGGTCATTATTTATGAGGATAATATTTTAAGTGATACAATTCTCAGTTTATTGATATGAGGTTGAATTTCATAGTGTCATGAACCATTATAAACATAGTTGTATTGGCAATGTACACTAGATCTTTCTAAAAATTTGATATTTTATAGATTAATTAGGTTTTTGAATTTTACGATAGAATAAATTCTTTAATTAACACAAAACCATAGTTATTTCAAGTTGAAATGAGCAATAACATTTAAAAATCCGTCCAGATACATTTTTCTTAGTGTTCGATTACATAACAGTTTTTATCGGTACTACTAATCAAATTACTTATATTTTTTCGACTATAGTAAACTCATTCTATGTGTGACATTTTTGAATCTAGATTAATCTAGTACTTGTTTTGAATATTTGACATGGCTCAAAATCGTTTGCAATGGCGTGGGTGCATACACTCTTTGTGTTCCCCCAAATTTTGATCTCCTTATTCCTCCCTGTCTCTTTTTTTCTCTTCCCAAATATATTTCACTGTATTATACTTTTTAAATAACATCTCCAAACACTAATTTTCCGATTACTGCTTATACTCTTATTACCTCTATCACTACGGGATTTGAATCGACCACTGCATCTGTGTGCTAATGTGGTGTGGCAACTCGAACTGATGTACGTACGTACGAAGTTCTACGTTGTTACTGACTGACTGACTGACTTTGAATATTACTAAAAATCACAATGTTCTATTCTTGTTTCATAAACGCTTATCTCAGTGTTGAGGCTCTCTTTCTTCTTTTACTATTATTTAGTTTATATGTACTTGTTCAAATCAGAACTTAGTCAAATATATTTACAATATTTTCGTTTTTACTACTTTTTAGTAAGTAATACTAAATTATTGCACTGATACTGATAATAAAATAATTTAACACATTCTATTTTCCATAATTACTGTTTTTCTTAATCAGTTTAGATAGCGCAATTAAAGCAATTTTAGCTGAATATAATGTATTATTTTTCTTCCCCTTAGTTTCTCGTAATCATTATGTACTGAAAGTCTTTGTCTTAATCATCAGACAAAAAACTTGATATATCCTTTCTGTTCGACCTTGAGTGGGTTTAGAAAATAACCAGAACTCCTTTTTATTCGAAATCATAAGGAAAATAATGCTCAGTATGTAATTTTAACCTACGTCGCCCAGTGTCATAATCAGAGATATTTCCACCGAGCTATTTATACTGTGACTGACATTCTGTAAGACTGAAATGTCTACAAATTATTTGATTACTTAGTAATGTTATTACTGATGTTTTAATTCTGATAAAGGTGAAATATAATAACTATTCTAAATTATATGAAATTATAGTGCACTTTATTCGGTCTTAGATGGTTGAAGAGAGTTGGTAGAAGGGTTGAGCAATTTGCTAATAACTTCTCTGACCGTGTGATTTGTTAAGACATGTCTTAATCTTATAAAGAGAATTGTTCCCCTTGGGACTGCAGACGGTCCTTCCTTACGCCTGTCAAGGAATATGAAATCAAGGTTTTATGACTCCTTAATTATTATTTTCATTTATTTAATACCAGTTAGAAAATTTGTTGTAAATTATGAGTTTACTTGTTTAGTTATGAGGGTTAACTGTAAAGCCCTTAATAATAGCTTTGGCTTTCGTTCCTGTCTGAACACTATGATTTAGGGAGTCGTCATTCACTAAATGTTACTAACCCAGTGTACTTATGTTTCATTCTGATCGATTTTTTAAAAGCAAGCTATCCGTATTTTTTATTCTTTCAGCTAATTGTTTTTATTTACTTTGAGTTTTCTGAAATGTCCTTAACTTTATTTTGAAGAGGCTTGTATTATGTTTGTTTTATTACGTAGAATATAAGATTACTAGATTACCTCGGTTTTCAAATATCTACTTCACTTGAAGTAATGTTTCTTTTTAAATTTGTCGATACTTGTAATCAGTGTTACCGAATCAACACGTGTGCTCTTAATGTACTAATTTCTTGGAAAGCTATTAATCCCCGTTTGTGACGTAGAAGGTAATATCTCATGTTTATTTGTCAAACATATTTTATTTCGTGCCTACAATCATTTAACCTAAACCTTATATACTCGTTATTCTTTTCTCTACGTATCAATATATATGCGTATATAAATAGTTCATGTAGTAAGCCTTCAATACCTTTGCGATATTAAAGAATGCGATTATTTGCAAAATGATCTTTGTTTTCTATATTTTTAAAAATAAATGATGCCCCTCAGCATAAATACGTAGTAAATATTATCATCTTAAGGTGAAGAAAAACAAACTTCTGACCCCATTGGAAACCGTGAATAACTGCTTATTTGTTGTTGGGAATAATAAATTTTTCACCTGGTGATCAGGGGACTCTGGAGCTAGTATGAATCGAAGATTATGGATCGTAGATTCAAAATGTTATCACTTTTTTATTTATATCCATTTCCTAGATCAATTTTACAACCTATGTTTATGTTGAGAAAGGTAATTATTTGGTCCAACATATTATTACATCAACATCCAACTACCCATCTAAATAATTGCATATTTTTCTTTTTGCTCATTCACGACAATTATTTTCTCTTAAGATCCAGCTTCTGATTTTCTTTCCCTTTTAAACTTCTCTTTTTCTCATTAACCTAGGCCAACAAGAGGATGCTCGTATGTGCTTAAGTATTGCATTAACTGCGGCTCGTTATAATGCTGCGATTGCTAATTATGTTGAAGCTGTTGAAATAATTAAACAACCATCTCGAACTAAATCAATTTCATTGAAATCAACATTGGAAACAACATCTGAACCAGTACCTACAGTATCAGGCGCACGAGTTCGAGATAGATTAACTGGTAAAGAATTCACAATCAATGCTCGTTGTGTGATTAATGCAACTGGACCATTTACAGATAGTATACGACAAATGGATGATAAAGAACAACCTACTATTTGTCAACCTAGCTTAGGTGTTCACATTATTCTTCCTGGTTATTATAGGTAATGAAATTTTTATTTTGGGATAATAATAATCCATTTTGTATTGTTTGTTTGTATCTTCCCATTGATATTTAGGACTGAAATTAAGCAGTTTCTTATTGGCATATTTGCATCCTGTGCGGATTGCCTCGATAGTGACTTAAGTCAAAGGTATTATAAACAAAGATGGATGGTGACTAGCAGTGAAATCCAGGAGACGATTTTCGTCCTATATGGGACCACACTGTACAAGTTAGTGGCTATCAGGACTCAGTAGATAAATGAATAACGTGATGGCGTTTGAAGCGAACGATATTAGGTTCAAGTCCTAGAGTGAACATCAACTCTGGGATGCAGGTAAATTCAGCTGACGAGTCCCGAATAGGATGAGACGCGCGTCCTGGATTTCACTGCTAGCCATCGTCCATCTTTGCTAATAATAATACTTATAACAGTAATATTCGTAATAATTTATTTTGATGCTTCATGCTATTACATAATAAATCAGTCTCTGATAATAACTGACTGGTAGTGTTTTCGTATGTATTTATTATTATGCTAGTGTTGTGATATGCCTGTTCATGTCCAAATTAAGAAATGCCTTTATTCTTTCTAATAAATTACACATCCTATATTGTTTGCTTTGATGAAACGAACAGTAAATCACAAGAGTTTCACATAGTTTTCATTATTATTTATAACTTTCTAATCATTTATTCGATCTCTCTTTTGTTTTTGATGTTAGAAATGTTTAATATAATCCCTACTTTTTATTCCTTTATGCAACGATTCATTTCCTTGATACGAAAGTTTTCTTCAGGTTTGAGATTATTTGAATTTATCTGTTAAGTTTGTAAGTACTGTTTTTGATTTATGATGTTAAAGTTTCCCAAACAGTTGAAAAATCTCATATAGATTTTTAGTTATTATTACTTTATTGTAGCTTTTTACACATAAATAATAAAAACCGAAATTGATCTTGGTTTGTTTGAAGTGACGTTCGAAACATATTAAAGTATTAAAGTTATTTGAGTTATTTCAATCTAATAGGAAACTTGAATGCAAAGTTAAATAGGTTCATTCTTATTTTCTACGTTGTAGCTGACTGACTGACTGAAGTGAAATGTATTCTGTGTAAGTAGGATTTTTAATGAGATTTTTAATTTAACCAGTATTACTACTCTCCATTTGGTGTAGTTCACTTTTCTCATTGTTGCGGCTAGTCCAACATTGACAGTTTAGGACTTGGAACAACTGTGCATCGATTCAAGTTACCACATCTCTGATCAGTGTGTCAAGAAGTAATTAATAAAATGAAGAAAAAAGAGGGTGAAGATTTTAATAATATATTTTATGTTCACATTTAAAAATGACTGCATCTGGAGAATAAAACATACATACTGAGATGAAAACCTTAGTAACTCATTTATAAACTTTCGATTTTCATGTGAAAACTGCATATTGGTTATAATCATATTGCTTTTTTAACCATAAATTATTTATTAACCAAATAGTGTTTTCATGAACGTCGATACACTTTACTTTCAATCATTTTTTAAAAAAAAGAGAAATGAATTATCATTTCAACTTACGATTATTTTGAAATTTTCTCGTCCAACTAACTTTCAATGATCATTTTTGCTGTCCACTTTTTTCTCAATATATTTAATTTTTCTAAAATTACACTCCTACCATTGGATGTCATATGATCAATCACTGTCATGCGTCACGTGTATAACGTCGATAACTTTAGTTCTGATAAATAACACTTTCAGAATAGTAGGTAGATATATGTTGAGGGGAAAATAAATATCTGGCATTTATTGAACCAGAATTAATATCATGTGTCTCGGATGAAATTGGATCATATGACTATGAAGTTCATTGGTAGAAATAATTATTGTCCTTTATACACAGAATTTCGTTCTATCAACTAATTGCATTGTTTTTCTCCTTTGAAATATCGTACTTTTATTACTAGTAATATGGTGTTATTAATATTAATAAGCAATTTTATTACTTTCATTAATTCAATCATTGAATTCACAGACTTATGAATTGGAACATTAAGTTTGTAACTTCTCAGTCACTACCTTCTCCATGCAAAAAATACTGCTTTTCTAGAGTCAAGTAAATTTTATATAAAGTAGTAAAGATGTTTTTTTACAACAAATTATCAGCAACTTCTAACATGGGAAATGCTATCGTCAGCTATACTGATAGGATAGGTATTTTAATAAGTTGAGTAGGAAAATCGATGAGACTATAATTTATGAACGAACTAATGAAATTAAGGGTACCAGCTCTTTAATTTCTATGCGAAATTCATTCATTCGTACAGTTACAATCGCATTTCGGTATTATAGCTGATATCAGCTCGTAATTAGTCGTCGGGTCACGTATCACACATGTTCAACCACGGACTATCACGGCTCGCCATGTTCACTAGTATTGAAGACAGATGGAAGAAAGGTAGGGGCAGCCAAAAAACGTGATATTATTCCATAAAGTCACTAACTTCTGGTTTGAGCCATGTTGATAGATGTAGACTACTTGGTTGGGGTATGCGCAACTATTGTAACCAATAATTGGAGACTATGGGTGACATGGTTCAGAATCGATCACAATGGCGTAGGTTTATATACTCTCTGTCTTTCCTTAAACCGTAAGATTAAAATTACTTCATAACTTTCTTCCTACGAACCACTTCTTTCTATATGCATTATATCCTTATATGCAATCTTTCTTTTATATATAACCACTACTGAAGTAACTATTTCTATGAATTTGGTGATCATCTTGCTGTGCTAATGAGGTGTGACAACTTATTTATTTATTTATTCATTTCAACCCATAGATATTGGTACAAAGAGGCACCAAATACATATGCGCCACACAGATCTCATTAGATTTGTGTGAGGGCTGTGATAATGCCCGGGTGCTTAAACTTGATGCGATGCATATATATGCCTGGTCCTACGTTGCAGATGACTGGTGACTGGCGGACTCAGTTCGTAATAAGAACTCTTACTTTAGTTCCTAACCCTAAATAATCACTAAATCCCGATCTCAATTTCTCATACTAACCTTCCTTTGACCTTAGTATGTTTCATGGTCACTATAGCATTGCTCAGAGGTCGTCCATAAACTATAGTTTCTCCGAGAAATCACTGCATCTCTCAGTTCTACAGAATAATATTTTCCAAATATTCTTCAATTTTGTGTATGAATTTTTCTCACTAAGACTTAATGTTGAATGAATACTTGATGTATATTACAAACAACTGAATATATTTCTATAGAGTAGATGGATTATAGGTAGCAGTGGAATCCCAAATGTGCATTTCATCTTTATCACAACTCGTCAGCTGGATATATCTGCGTCCCAGTGTTAATATTCACATCAGGGCTCGAATACCTTACGTTTTGCTCTGAACTCCAACGCGTTTTCCATCGAGTAGGTTACTGAATCCAAGTGTTTACCAGCTTATCGATAAAAAGTTAATTCGAACTTTTTCTAATAATGATACAAACTAACCGTCGGTTAAAAGTAATCGATGTCAGAACGAACTATCATCCATATCATTGTGGCTTCGGTTTCTACTCTGTTTCATCAAATTTAAAGCGTTCCCATTCATGTAGTTCTTATAACTTTATAGTTTAATACAGTGTATGGCTTAAACTGTCTTTTTGTGGTTTTTACTTCGTTGATTGAATTTTCGTTTTGTGCAAAAGTTCTTTACAAATCAATATCATGACAAGTAAGACATTTTGAATATTGATGTTCGTTTGGTGAGCATGTCTAGTTACTCACCTTTTTCTTCATAACACTAGTTATAATACTTACCAGATTAAAATACACCTAGCAAAGAAATATGTTTAAGAAAGGTATGAAATTCACGTTAATCGATCAACTAATTGTGACCAATGTTCAGTCGATCAAATTTTAGTTTAGTTATTACCTTAAGTGACTCGACGTCTCAGAGTTCTTTATTGATTGCTGTGTAACCTTAATAGATCAGTGGTGACTTCCCTAACTGATACTTGGTGATTCAAGTCGAAAGAGTTTGTGCTAAAAGGATTGTTTGAATAAAATTCATATGATATGTCATTCTTGGCAAGCGTATCAATTATTCAGTTATTGATATTCAGGACTGAATTTTTGATCAATCTATGTGCAACGTATGCAGAGTACTACGATATAACCACATTGTCACTAGGTTTTTTTTAGAATAGGTCGGCAAATAACCCATTGATATTTGAAGCAAAATGTTTTTATGTTCGAGTCCTGGAGTGAACATGAACACTGGAGTGCAAGTATGTCTAACTGACGAGTTCCAAACCAGGCAAAAAGGACATTATTACTTCCAGCACTAGCCACAGTTCACATTGGGTTAAAATATTCTCATAATATTTTATAAGTTATGTGAATCAAATTAAGTCAAAATGGTATTCTTCTCTCATAATTTTTTTATCTAATAGATAACCTTATGTTTCCTTTCTTAATTCAATTAAAACGTTGTTCATTTCACTTTAAATCAATAACACTTCATCTTTCTTTCTATTTAAACCGTTTAGTTGCCAAGATCGTGATGACTTGCAATGTATCACTTTAGAATCTATTTTAAATGAATTTTTTAAATTACATATAATACTCATTTTATTTTAGGGTCATATATTTAAAATAACTTTAGCAATTCTTAACATATAACAGAGTTTTAAAAGATAAAACCCAGGTTCATAGTTAGTAGAGAGTCATTACATTGGTGATAATGTATGGATTTTCTTAAAAAATTTTCTCCACGTTTATTTCGTCAAATTATATTAAATTGTTATAGAAACATACATAAGATCAATGTTAATTAATTAATTATAATTGACAATGCGTTCGTTTATTCTATTAATCTGGATTTGTTCAAGCTATTCATTTTTATAGTTAAAAATATCATAATCTTATTATTCAAAATAGAATAGATACATCATATACATTGTGATATCTGTTATATGTATCTGTGCGTGTG